GCGATTTTTTTTCTGCACACTGCTTACTTCTTGTTTGCATTGCAAGGTTTAAGAAAATTAATGTTGGTGGCGCACTTCACATCATGTTTCTGGTGCTCAAGATGAAAAAAAAAAAACGATAGTTTTTCGTTGATTATAGGCATTTTTAGTCAATTTTCATAATTAAACAATAAATAAATAACTTTAATAAAATTTGTATTAGTTTTTGTAGATCAGTTTAGTCTAGTTTTAGTTTAATACTAGGCTAATTACAAGATATTTTGTATAGATATTCCAACTAGCAATCATTTTTTTTAATTTGCTGGTTTGTGAATTTTTACCTAGCAATTATGACAAACCTACTAGCAAATTGCTAGTTTGCTAGCGTGAATTTCGAGCCCTGCCATGGTACACTTTGAAGCAGACACAAGGTTTTGATACATATTCTGATGTTTATAAAATACACAAATATATGGAATACAGTAAAATATAGTGTTAATATAATTAATAGCTCTTTCTAACAATCAGGAACAATTCAATAGTACTAGTTGCCAGGAAACTAACTATAACAAAAATCGGAAAGAAACTTTTCTACAAACTGGTTCCCACATACTCTTGAATTAAATATAACTATGTATTGTACACTTAACGTTTCACTTCAGGAACTGCCAGAAGAAAAAGGACATTGTTTTTCAATATTACATAACTGTACTAAAACACAGGCTAAAACTATATTTAAATTTATTGTAACTGCAATTCTCTGAAACAATAGCAATCGTAAAAAAATTAAATAATAATCATACTGAAAAAAAAAATACAATAAAAAGTTATGTATAGTCAAGCATCATTACAAACCAAAATAAAGAAAATCAATACTAAGAAGTCTAAAACATGCAAAAAAAAACTGGTACCGACCCGTGCAAATAACCTTCCTTTAATTAAAATAAACCATTCTGTACATCGGCATTACATATGCTGTTAATCGCGGCCAATGGTTCTAGGCCTACGCGATCATGAATTTCTTGATTTGATGTATGCTTAGAAAAGGTAATTATGTATTCTAACCCTTATGCTTGGCATTTAATATAGTTTAATATGATTACTATATACAATAGAGTTTGTAAAATGTTTTATTATAGTAAAAATATCATTCATCAAAATTTGGTACGGGTTAGTGTATGCTGTGTACGGGTTGACCAAAGATGTGTGTACGGGTACGCCAAAATTCTGTGTACGGGTCGAACAAAATTTGGGTATGGGTTGTGGTCACAGGTTGGCATGGTACGGGTTATCTTAGACTTGTATTCCTGTGCACGACAGTACAAAAATACTGGCCCAAGTGTAGGCCTAGGCCAACCCGAGTCCTAGCTTAGGCTAGGCCTAGCCTCCTACTGCTACTAGTAATAGGCCGACAACTACTATAGGCCTAGTCTACTAGTACTTTACTTGAATTCGATCCAACTCGGCCACAAGTCAACTCGGCCACAGTCAACTCGGCCACAAGTTAACTCGGCCACAAGTCAACTCGGCCACAAAGTTTGGCTACAGTCAGCTCGGCAACAAATCAACTCGGCCACAAGTAATTTACTGGTACTACATTGTACTAATTGTTATTATTATTGCTGTTATTATTGTTGTCATTGTTGTTATTATTATTGTTGTTTTTATTACCGTTACTGTCTCTTATACACATCTAGATTAGTTTTAATATTAATTATTAGTCTTAGCATTAACATTATATATTGTTCAAATTTTTGCTGATATTATTATTATTACAGTACCATATAAATAATAAATAATTTTCGATTTTTTATTACAATTATTCATATTATTATTATTTATTAGTAATAGTATTATAATTTTAATAATAGTAATTTAAAAAGTTGTTGTTATGGGCGTTTTATTAGTATTTTTCTCATATTATTATTATTATTATTATTATTGTTGTTGTTGTCACCTTTATTGTCAATATTATTACCCTATTATTACTAAGTAGGCCTAGTATCATAAGTATCATTATTATTATTATTACTAATTAGTATTACTATTATTATAAAAATAAACATTATCTTTAATTTATTATTGTTGTATTATTGCTATTATCACCTTCAATATCGTTATCACTATTTAGTTATTAAAATTGATATTTAAATATCGTTATTATTACCATACTAGTAGTATTATTACTATTTGTTAAAATAAATATTACTATTAATGATGTTGTTATTATCACATTTATTATCGTCATAATGACTAATTAGTATTATTAATGTAAATATTACTAATTTATTGTCGTTATTGTTGTTTAATATTATTGTTGAAGTAGAATGTTGTGAGTAAACAGAAGACGAACACCTTAATAAATAACTCTTTTTAATTCATAGGCAATAGCATTCAAATCTCTTTTGGTAGTGTGGTGGTCCTGTTTTACCATAGAGAAAATATTTTACTAAAACGTACTTTATTTCAATCATATATTGAAGAAATAGGATGCAAAAACTTAGATTTACATTAAATAACTTGTGGTCGAGTTGACTTGTGGCCGAGTTAATTTGTGGCCGAGTTGACTTGTGGCCGAGTTGGCTGTAGCCGAACTTTTTGTGGCTGAGTTGATTTGTGGCCGAGTTGACTTGTGGCCGAGTTGACTTGTGGCCGAGTTGACTTGCACCCCATTACTTTTTATGCTAGCTAGGCCTAGCCTCTCTAATATAGTACTACTGTGTACTAACGAATTAGGCACATATTGGCCGCTACTGATAGCGGCCGCCCTCTACAACGGCCGCCAATGTGTGTATATGTATGGAACGCCGATGACGCATTCACAATGCAGTACAGTGTAGTTGTTAAATGGTTTGGCATAGGCTTAGGTCAAGTAGGTTTGACATAGGCCTAAGCCAAGTCGGTTTAAAATTCGGCCTACAGTAACAATTAGTATTAGAGGCAAGCCTAAGTTATTTGAGTTGAATTTATTCTTGCACAAGATATTGCCGTGGTTTAATCATTACTAGGCCTATGCTAGCTTTCATCTTGATGTGGAATGTATATATAATATATAAACTAAACTACACAATCTACATCATATATATATATATATATATATATATTTATTGTTTAATATATATATATACATATATATATATATATATATATTAAACAATAAAATATATATTAAACAATAAAACAATAATATCAATTATCATCTAACAATTGTATGTCTTTTAATTTCACTATTGTTATTTTTTAATGTATCCTTTTATTCTGATTCAGATTTTACATACCCTATTGCACAACGTTAATTTTATCGTAAACATTTAGTCATTCTTTTATGTAAAGGTCAGTGTGTGGAATGTTGTGTCTACAACAGGAATGCAGAAATATAAATCACTACAAATCAAGTATATATATATGTTTTCAATAATTTTAATGTCACAAAACAATTCTTAATTCATCATTCTTTAATCTTTAAAACCTTTAATTGCAAGTCTATGTAACTAAACTACACAATCTACATCAAATAAAAAAAAATGAACACTAATAGTTACAAAATTACGTTAAAATTATATTAAAAATATAGTATTCATACATTTCTATAAATTAAATTACAAAAATATTGTCTTCGTACTTTACAACTTATGTCAACTTATATATATTAAACTAAACTACTCAATCTACATCAAATAAAAATGAACACTGTAATAGTAACAAAATTACGTAAAAATTATATTAAAAATATTATTCATACAGTTCTATAAATTAAATTACAAAAATATTGTCTTTGTACTTTACAACTTATGTCAACTTATATACATTAACAACAATTTTAACAACAGATACCAAATTGCTATATTTAGAGTAGACTTCATTAATTGAACATTATAGGCCTATATGTTTACATTCAGTACATCTGCCCTTGTGCCATATAGTATCATAAGAGGATTATGTAGCCCTAGCATCAACAGCTTCTCGAGCATTGGGGTTTATGAGATGACTGGCTGCAATTAACAAAGTCCTTGCAGTTCTAGTCCCAGCGGCATACTCGTCCCAGAGCTTGTGAAGCCGTTGGTTGGTCCTAAGAGCTGCTGGCGCCTGTGTCCTCAGTTCATCTTCTCTGTAGATCAATTCGACGTTGACTGACACAGTCTGGCTCTCTTCTCTCTTCATACAGTAACTGGCAGAGCATGTAGAACTGGATATTCGCTACGAAAAAGGTAAGATAATTGGTTTAATATTAATTTATAGACAAAAAAGTAATCAATTACTGAACTCGAAGACTTCACAGCACATTTTAATAAAACCATCCATACAATTCATGTGTAAGTAAAAATGTAATCATTAATTCATGCTCTGTGTATACCTTGACACAATTTGGTACATAACAAATGTCTGTTTATAAAAAGAAAATACTTACCACGCTTGGCTCTGTGATTAAGGCGATGATGCCACCCCTCCAAGTCATTGTTGGTACGTACATCCTGCCTGTAAACAACCCAATCCTGTGGTGTGAAAACATTACCCTGAAGCCAATATGATCGAATGTACTCCATCATCTGCAAGATAGCCTGGTTGTTGCCAGCTGAAAGCTCGATCCGTTGGAACACTTCGTTGACATGCTCAACTGGAAGAATTGGTAGTGACAAGAGTTGCCTTATTGTCTAAAAATGTGAAACAAGAAAATGATTAATTATTTTATGTATATACATACATATATGTATTATATACACAATCATATATATATATATATATATATATATAGATTAAAAGGCAAAATACTGGAAAACAACAATGCTGTGGGAAACAATGGCTGGATCTCAGAAGAGATACAAAAATGATAAGCAACAGCTAAAAAGTAAACGTAAGAAAACAGCCAGAAATAGAACCAGAGCTTTCGGACAACACTAGTCCTTCCTC